TATTTACATTAAGACATTAATAACATAAGAATCTCTAACATATTTGGCTACTCATAGGGTAAAAATATATGAAATCATCCAGACCATGACACCCTTACGTCTCAGAATTTTTACACCACTTGCAGTCCATATCAAAAAAATAATAACTGCGAAAATTTTAGTTAAAAATACCAATGGGTTCCATAGGTATTGTCACTTGAAATAATGCTGACTCAGCATTTTAGTGATTTTCTGAAGTGACTACAAAGCAACTTTGACATATAGTATCTTCATAATGGCTTGGGGAAATTTCCTAAAATTTGGTACTCTAATAGATTTTAACATGAGGAATCCAAAAATAGCACTCTTAAGACTCGATTATCTCAAGAAATGCCTCATTTATCCAATTTTGTTCAAAATTATTGACTTGTAAATTAGTGATTTTTGGAGGTAAAATAAAGACTGTGGCCCAAAATTCCGAGTAAAAATTTTAATTGTATATCATTATTTCATCTTAGGTCTACTGAAAAAAATCAGATTCATCAATTGTCTCTCTAATACGTGATCAAAATTTGCATTTAAAAATGGTGTCTTTTTAGAAAAATTTATTTTTTGAAACAAAAGCAATTAAAATATTTTTTAAAACATTTAATTGAATAAAACATCAAATAGTGTCATTTATTGAATAGTTTAGGACATTTATAGTCATGGGCCAAGGGAGATACCCTCCACTCCCACGGGAGGCCCCTACGCCCCCTCCCCCAATCTCCCTAGATTTTTTTTTTTTTTTTTTTTTTTTTGCATAAAATGAATAAATAATGCAAAAACATACAATTTAATTTTAATTTTGAAAAAAAAAATTTCATTATTTCAAATTGGTGACTTAAAACCTCCTTTTATATAAAAAACAATCATAAGTTTTGTTTTGTTCTTTTTAAAGGTATTTACTTGTTTGTATTTTCTTAAAGAATTACTTTTAATTTTATAGTTTTTATATTATTTTGTTAGGTAATAAATAATAAAAATAATTAATATGGAGAAATGTGACATTGGAAAAAGTCTTAACATTCATTGCCACAAAACTGGATTTTCAAGAAAACAAGGTTTTGTTCAATTTAAAGATCTTCCTTGTGAAAAACAAGAAGAAATAATATGGCGAGCAAATTAAAATATATAAAATATATATTCAATAAGAATTATATGTTGTTATCATGAGCAATTCTATGGAAAATATTTTGAGAGAAAAATTACAAAGTGTTGCAATCCTTTTGGAACACACAAGGAAAGTAAAAAAATTGCTATAAAAGGTAATCTTATTTACCTTATTTACAACAGAATTGATATGGAAATTAAAAGAAAACAATTTATTATTTATAAAAAGTTTTATAATTTCAGTTATTTTAACAACGTAAAACTAAATTTGTTTTTTAGGTAATATAAAGATTTCCATAGACATGGCAAACTATTTGCAAAAAAATAATGTTTATGTAACCCCAGGTTGGAAATTCTGCAGTAAGTGTTACAAAAAAGCAATAGAAACTGATGAAGATTTAAATTCACAGGAGGAATGGGAATCAAAAAGTGAGAAAAAAATTAAGTTAGATACCACTATAGAATTGCTTGGAATCTCACCGGTCAAACTAAAAAGTCTTTCAAAACACAGCAAATTGCCTGTAGCAAAACAAAAGTTTGAGAACACTATTGACAGAGTTGCAAAAATGGTCTCATTAGCATATAATATAAAAGAAACTTTTTTAACAACAGAAATAAAAAGCCCCATTTTAAACAACAACATTAACAATGACCATGATCTAGACATTTTAATGTATGAAATAAAAAATAAAATTTCAGAGACTGACTCTTATCGCCATAAGGTGCAAATGTTAACACTCGCACCAAAATCATGGACACGTAAAAAGATATCAAGCTACTTTGAAGTGTCTGAGTATCTTGTTCGAACAGCAAGAAAAGTTAAAAATGAGAATGGAATTCTATCATTACCCTGGGAAAAAACTGGAAACCCACTTTCACCAGAAACAGTTAATTTAGTGATTAACTTTTATCAAAGTGATGAGTTTTCAAGAATGATGCCAGGAAAAAAAGATTATGTAAGTATTAAGAAAAACCAACATGTTCAAAAAAGATTATTGCTACTCAATCTTAATGAATTACATGTTGCATTTAAAAAAGACTACCCTAACGTCAAAGTCAGTTTGTCAAAGTTTTGTACTCTTAAACCTAAATGGTGTATTACAACTAATGCGTCAGGTACCCACAATGTATGTGTTTGCATACATCACCAAAATACAAAATTTCTCATTGATGCCATTAGGTGGAATAAAAGTTATAAAGATTTCATGGCATTGATTGTTTTCTCTTTTGAAAATGCAGAATGTATGTTGCATCGATGTAACCAATGTCCTGGTATTGAAGCGTTAAAAAGTTTTTTAGTGCAGGAGTTTATGTACCATGAGCATGAAGAAGATGTAGTATTTAAGCAATGGCAGAGTACAGATCGTAC